ATAAATAAATAAATAAATAAATAAATAAATAAATAAAAGGAGGCCTTCAAAAGTTCATGGAAAATGTATATTATGCAAAAGCTATGTATGGATTTCAGGGTTTTAAATCAAAATAACCTCACATTTTTAAAAAATTTATTTTTATTTATTCATGCATTTATTTTAATTTGGCCAGAGAGAGACACAGAGAAAGAAGGGGAAAGTGACAAAGCAAGCCACCAGTCCAGTACTCAAACTGTGGTTGGCCATGTGGGAGTGTCCAGCACCTTAACCACCACGCCACCTGCTGGTCCCCAATAACCTCACATTTTAATTGCACTTTTCCAGAAGGTTTCTGAAGTCACCTCAGACTATAGCACTATATATATACATATATATATATGTATATATATATACATATATATATGTTTACCTATATATATACATATATATGTGTGTGTGTGTGTGTGTGTGTGTGTGTGTATACATATATACATATACTTTTTTTCTTTTTTTTTAATCTAAAAACTATAGTTAGAGGGCCAGCAGATGGTGGGGTGGTAAAGGCATTGGCTTCCATATGGCTGGCTGTGTAGTTCGAGTCCCTGACCCAGTGGCTTAAAAATCACACCAGATGCATGTGCATACATGCTCAAAATCCCCAGAGAAGAATGGAGAAGAAGGGGTTGCAGCATGACCATCCTCCCAGGTGGTGATTGCTCACTATCTCTTTATCTTAGTCTCCCTCTGGTAAGTGTACATGCCCAATGGCAAAAATCTTTAAAAAAAAAAAAACTATAGTTGGAACCAGCCTTTAGTGTAGTGTTTAAGGGGCCTGGCTCCCACACGGCCAACCATGCAATTCAAACCCTGGCCTTGACAGCTTGAGAAACACACCGGATAAGTGTGTGTCCATGCCCAAATTCCAACAGGATGATGAAATGCAGGAAGAGGGATTGTGGCATGTCCACACCCCATTGGAGGGTGCTTCTCTCCCTCTGTCTCTGTTTCTCTTTCTCCGATAAGTGCACTAGCCCTCTGGCAGATTTTTAAATTATGAGAACTATCAACATAATTTTAACTAAAAACAACTTTAACAAAAGAATCTTGCTCTACAATCTTTCTCCCTACTTGATTCTTTTTCATTTACACATACTCAGTGTTTAACAAAATATTGAAGTGTGAGTGGAAGTTAAGCAGAGCATGGCTTCTTGTTAACAGGCCTCTTTTCTCCAGTGTTTCATGCATTACAACATCATCCTAGCAGTCTTTAATGCCACAGAGTCAGTACTACTAATTTTCATACTTCATTAATAAATAAACGGGGGCCTTAGATGTTATGGAATGAATCCCTAGATTCCCCTGGGAGTTGAGAGAATGTTCCAAAAGAGCCACGATAATCAAGAAATACCAGATTGCAGACAGGAGTCTAAAGATCAACACTTTCCAGACTCAAGACTCAAAAGTGAGACTTTGGATCTATGCTTTAAGAAGAGCTTAAGTTCTGGGACCAGCAGTTGGCGTAATGGCTATGTCGCTGAACTCCCATGTAGCTGACCGTGGTTCAAGTCCCGGATCCGGTGGCTTAAATTCATGCCGGACGCATGTGCGTGCGAGCCCAAGATTCCGAGAGGAGAGCGGAGGAGAAGGGATTGCAGCACGGCCATCCCCCCGGGGGGGAGGGTGATTTCTCACTTTCTGTCTCTCTGTCTTTCTGGCTAGTGCACGTACTCTACAACAAAAACCTCCCCCCCCAAAAAAAAAAAGAGAGTTCAAGTTCTAATAAGTAAAAAACGTTTATAAAAATAGAGTTGGGGGAACCAGTCAGAAGCAGATCAGAAACTATAGTCTTGCACTTGACCAGGAAGCAAGACTCAGCATCTTCGATGATTTAGAACAGAGAGGACAAGAAAGCCTTCCTGCCAGACGTTAACAGTTTGCAGCCTGGGACTTAGAAGGACAAAACTCCAGGAGCTCAGATACTGTGAATTGGGTGTTTGCTACAATGCTCCCATACGCTTGAAATTTCTTCTGAGTAAAGTGGTGAGAAAGTGAAGAATTCCAAGAGTTATTAGGGAATTGGCCAGCACTGCGGTTTTAGTTCAGAGTGATGCTTTATGTAATTCCTTGCAGTGGATAAAAGCAGATTCCTTCTATGGATGAAAGCAGCCAATACCTACTGAGACCCATATATACTGTCTGTTTATTCACAACAAAGCCAGAAGGTAGATAGCACACCCTCCACTTGCAGAAAACAGTAGCAGACAGAGGCTAAGAGCTGCACCTAAAGTCACAGAGCTGGAAAGGGGCAGAACAAGGATTCAAACCAGGGTTTATACACCTTCTATTCTGCACGGACTCAGCATTCTTTAAAGGCTGCTATGCTCTCTGGAGATGAACAGGGCAGCCACATACATACGAGACCACTGAGCACATTCTGGGACTCTCAACAGACTCGGGAAGGTTTCTGAAAATGTGAAAGCAATACACCTTCGTGTTAAATACAGGGGCTTTGGAGTCCAACTAAACTGGGTTCGAATCCTGGCTCTGCCACTTCAACATAGCACCTAAAAAGCCCAGTTGTTTTTTTTTTTTCCATCTATGCGAGGGGAGGCTGAAAGAGGCTGCTGTGAGGTTAAGAGAGATGATGCATTTGAAGTTCTTCCTGCGTGGTAATTCAGCAATAAAAGGTAGCCATTGTCCACATTTTTTTGAACTTGTAAGAAACAGAGACTGTCTGCCCTGCTGTTTTGCCAAAGCACCAAAGTCAAAGGGTTTTGAAAAGGTGAAACAGGAGGAAGGATTCAGGTTCACAGAGGAGAAAGGTGGAAAGAGGTTGAGAGGACCATGGTATCCTTCACAGCAGGTGAGGAGTTCAGACCTTTGATTGTGATTTCAACTTGAACACAGAATCAGAACACAGCAGAGCCGTTCCAGGAAGATTCTCCGAATTCATAACTACAGGTAAGGAGAAAGCACGCGCAGGTGCCCTCAATTTCCCACCAAGTGAAGGCAGGAAAGAAAGTCTGTCTTCAGTACTTTTGTGCAACATGGCCCGGCAGTGGGTGCTGGGAAGGGGCCTGAGCACATCCACCCAGTGCCCAGGAAGAAGACGCAGTTCCCAGAGAAGGGCCACAGGGTGCCCCCAGGCTGGGAGGAATCACCTCGCTTAGACAAGCCATCTCTGTGCCGGGCACCAGGAAGACCCCTGGGCTTGCAGGGACACTTGGTGACCCTGGGGCCCCCGAGGCTATCCCCCTCCCCCATTTTGGGGACAGGAGTGTCAACTACCGTGTCCTAGGGATTAAAATAAAAAATCCTTCCTTGATTTGGAAATGTTGTGAATGTTGCCAACACGCCCTGGAGAGAACCAGGAAACGCAGCCGGTCTGTTTCAGAGCTGCCTTCTAGAACTGTATCGACCAAAGACTTGGAGGGAGAAAGGAGAAAGGCGTGCTCAGGGTTAACCTCCCCTTCATCCCTGCCCCCAACTCCACCACCACCGACGCCGAGCTGACCCTGGAGGTGGTCAGGAGAGGAGACGCTGGGGATTTCAGGTGTGCCCCAGGCTCGCACCGCCGCGGAAACCCGGCGGACACTCCCCCCTCTCCAGGGCCGTGGGCGCGTTCCAGGATGGTCCTGCCCCGGCGCCCGGGCATCCTGGGCGGGCGGAAAAACCATCCTCCTCCCTCGGCTGCGGGAAAGAGCCTACTTTCCAGGACCAGCTGCGGGCTGCCGGAACCGGGACTCGCAGCCCAGCTCAGGCTCCTGGCTCAGCTGCCTGGCCTTTCCCCAGCCTCCGGTGAAGCCCAGCCCGAAGGTCCCCCTTTTGTTCGCGGGGAGAGCGCGTCGCTGCGCAGAGCTGCGCGGCCCCAGGCGCTGGAAGCCCCGCTGCGGGGGCGCTTCCCCGAGGCCACCCGCGGCGTCCCCAGCGCTCCAGCGACCTCCAGTTCCAGCGCTCCGGTCCCCAACTGTCCCCGCACCCCGCCCGAGTACTCACTTCTGCCCAGTCCCTCCGCTTTCCACGCCGTCTCCTCCACCGCCCCATAGCGCCTCAGAGGCTTCTCGGCTTCCAGATGGGTGGACAGGGATTGCTTTAACTCCATCGCGGAGCCCCGCGGACAGCTCGACGGGCCTCCCTTCACTCCCTCCCCGCCCGCCGCGGGCTGCAGGGAGGGAGGCGGCTCCAGACAGCAGCGTTTTAAGGGGCCGGGCGCTCGTGACGCGGCTCCATCTCTTCCGCCGCCAGCGCCCGCGAGCGCCGACTGGTACCCAGGAGGGGGAGGGATGCAGGGCACATGCGCAGTGGAGGCTCGGAGGGGCGGCTTGGGGGCTGGGTAGGGAGAAAGAGAGGCAGATGAGAACTCTTAGGAACAACACAAACAACTAAACTGAAACCCACCGGAGAGAAGTAAGAACGAAACCCCAGCCCGTCCTGGGGCCGGTGGCCACGGTTTGCATGGGGCGGGCGCTGTGGGCGGCTTGTCCTCTGCCGGTGGCGGCTGGGGTTTGAGGGGGGTAGGCGAGCCCGTCTCTGTCTGTGGGCGATGGATCCATCTTTGTGGGGAACGTGCAGAAGCCTGAGTGTGGACCGAGCTCTGCGGGTCGTGTGCTTGGCTGAGTGAGTTTGGGTGAGAATTCGTGTCGTTTGCAGCTGCGCGTGTAACCTGGCTATGACATGGGGTCGTGGGTGCCTGTGTGGGCTCTGGGTGCGTTTGCATGGATGAGAGAGAGAGAGAGAGAGAGAGAGAGAGAGAGGTGGAGGTGTTTGGGGCACAAGTACAGCAAAGCTGCTTGCAAGCTGGGTCTTTACTTTCCGGAACCTGGAGGTTTGTCTTGCTAACAAAGCCTAGCAGCTGTAAAGCTGTAAAGTAAAACTAGCAGCTAGACTGATAGGCATTAGTAGTAATGATTGGGAGCCACGTCCCCAGAACTCTGAGAGACAGCTTCTGCTTCTTTCTCCTTGTTTTACCAGGGAGGAAACTCAGGTGTAGAAGGATTACGTTCCCTGCCCAAAGTTTTCCACTTGCTAAGTGGTCTGGTCAGCAGCTCAGTCCAGGCAATGTGAACCCAAATGTAGCCTCCTTCATATGCTGATCCTCTGTTTTATGTCAGAAAAGGAAATAAGGATCTATAGAACATGGTTTGTTTGTTGTTGCAATTTTTTTATTTTTTTGAGAGAGGTTTTTGCTTTAGGGCGTGTGTACTTGCCAGAGAGACAGAGAGATAGAGAGAGACAGACAGACAGACAGAAAGCGAGAAATCACCAGGGGAGATGGTCATGCTACAATCCCTTCTCCTCAATTGTCCCTCCAGACCTTTGGCACACACAAACAAGCGCTCACATGTGAGTTTTACCCCACCACATCCAGGACTCAAACCTGTGTCAACCACGTGGGAGTCTAACATCATAGCTACACATTACCTCCTGGTCCCTGTCGTTGCAATTTTTGGTATCCACATGGCCTGTGGCAGTGTGAAATAGTCCAGTTCTTCAAGAAAACAATTTGGGAGGGTCAGCAGATGACATGGTAGTTAAGGTGCTGGACTCTCACATGGCTGACTGCAGTTCAAGTCCCAGGCCTGGCAGCTTGCTTTCTCATTTTCTCTCTCTCTCTTTCTGCTTCTCTCTAGTAAGCGCACATGCCCTATAGAAAATGTAAAAACAATAATAGTAATAAAATTAAATAAATCTTGAAAAAAATAAAACTTGGTCACCGAAAGATTTCTTGTTGAGATTGACTACCCACCTACCTGCGAACCGTCCACTCGGCAGGCTCTCCTCACATCATATCTGAACCAGACGCCGCTGGGGGACTGGGCTCAACTGTGTGAAGGTCTCCCAGGACCCAGCACATCTGAAACAATTGTCTGTAGAATGCTCTACACCGCCCCCTGCTGACTGCAGTGTATTCAAGTACATATCTCTCCAGACCCCAGAAAGTCTGTTCCTTTTTGGAGTAAAATGAATCTTTCCCAAGCCACTTCTCATGAACCAGTGAAGATTCAAGAAAGCTAAATTAAAAGCCGATACAAGAGTTTATTTCTGTAACACATGTGCCATAATATATAAAACTTCTACTTTGTCAGTCCTTAACATCTGCCACTCTGAATTTTCATAAATTTCTATTTCATAAGGAAAGTTATTTTATACACACAGACATCAGCATACAATAAAATACTTAGTAACAAAAAGTTATTATGAATAATAAATACCTAAAAAGTTCACAAGAGAAAAGAAAAATAACAAACAAATCATAAAACATTTAGACCTGGTTAACAGTAAGAATGCCAAATATCAAATGTGATTTTTTGTTTGTTTGTTTAGATGTTTGCCAGAGAGAGGAAAAGTGAGAAATCACTCCACACCACAATCCCTTTACCCATAAGGATTTTGAGTGCACACACACACACACACACACACACACGTGCCCAGCATTTTTTTCCAGCCACTGGATTCAGGATGTGAACCAAGGAGTCCAACATGTGGGATCCAGCACCTTAACCGCCATGCCACCTGCTGGCCTGAAATTTGTAGGTTTTAAATGTGGATAAATGTAGCCTTCAATGCATTCCTCTAAAAACATAGGACTAAAAACAAATAGGTTAAGCATTCAAATCAAGAGACTTTAAGAAAAAAAGAACAGTAAAATCTAATTGAAATAGAAAAAAAAAAAAAAGAAATGACATAAGAGCATAAATTAAGAAAGCAGAAAACCTGGGAACCAGCAGTTAGCGTAATGGCTATGTCGCTGGACTCCCACATAGTCAACCACGGTTCGCGTCCCAGACCTGGTGGCTTAAAACTCACGCTGGGTGCGTGTGCGTGCATGCCCAAGATCCTGAGAGGAGAATGGAGGAGAAGGAATTGCGGCATGAACATCCCCCCTGGGGGGTGATTTCTCGCTTTCTGTCTCTATGTCTCTCTCTGTCTGTCTGGCGAGCGCACACGCCCTATAGCGAAAATCTCTCAAAAAAAAAAAAAAAAAAAAAAAGAAAGAAAGCAGAAAACCAGGAAGTAATAGAGAAGATTGACAAAACGAGAACTGGTTCCTTGTGGAGAAAAGGGGGAAAAAAAAAAAAAAAAACAATAAAAAAGAGAGACCTTTGAAGATTCATCAAAATATGTGCTCATAAGTAATATAAAGATGGAGCTGACAGACAGCATGGAGGTTAAGGCCCTGGAGTTCCACATGGCCAACTACAGCTTAAGTCTAGGACCTGGTGGCTTGCTTTCTCACTTTCTCTCTCTCTCTCTCTCTCCCTGGTCAAATTTTAAAAATAACAATAAATAAAATTAAATAAACAATTATTTTTAAAAAGAATGAAAGGGGTACATAAGTACAATAAAAAATTTTAAAACAACTGGGGCCGGCAGGTGGCATGGTGGTTAAGAGCGCTAGATTCCCACATGGTCAACCGTGGTTTGAGTCCCGGACCTGGAGGCTTGCTTTCTCCCTTTCCCTTTCTCTCTCTCTCTGTCTCTCTCTGGTCAAAATTTAAAAATGATGATAACAACAAATGGAATTAAATAAATAAATAAGCAAATATTTTTAAAAATTTAAAACAACTGAAGTGGGTAATTATCAAAATATATGTAAGAAAATGTAAAATAATTCCATAACCATTACAAAAATTGAATTGTTAATTCAGAAATTTATTTTCCTTCTCGGTCCCACAAAAGCAACAGGTCCATATAGTTTTTAGGTAAATTTTATCAAATAGCAAATACTCATCATTTTATTTTATTTATTTATTTTTAGTTTTTGCTATAGAGCACAGAGAGAGACAGAGAGGGTGGAGTGGAAAATGAGAAAGCAGCCCACAGGCAGTATGGCCACACTGCAGTCCCTTCTCCTCCCTTCTCCTCTGGGGATTTTGAGCACATACATAACATGCACCCAGCATATTTTTCTCTTCTTTTTTTTTTTTTTTCTTTTAAAGAATTATTTTATTTAGGACCAGCAGATGGGATAAGGGCTATGTCATTGGACTCCCATGTAGTTGACCGCAGTTCGAGTCCCGGACCCAGTGGCTTAAACTCACACTGGGCATGCGTGTGTGCGTGCCCAAAATCCCAAGAGAAGAATGAAGGAGAAGGGATTGTGGTGTGGCCATCCCCCCAAGGAGTGATTTCTTGTTTTCTCTCTCTCTATCTCTCTCTATCTTTCTGGCGAGCACCCAGGCCCTATAGCACAAATCTCTCCAAAAAAAAAAAGGAAAAAAAAAAAAGAATTATTTTATTTAACTTTATTTATTTATTTTAATATGACCAGAGAGGGACAGAGTGAGAGAAAGAAGCACAGAAAGTGAGAAAGCAAGCCACCAGATTTGGGACTCAAACCGCGGTCCCCACGTGGGAGTCCATAGCCCTTAACGCCACCTGCCAACCCCCAGCATGTTTTTCAAGTTGGCAAGTCCAGGACTCCAACTGCACAGTCAGGCATGTAGGACACAGCCTCCTTAACCACCATGCCACAAACTGGCCCAATAATCTTTATTTTATAGAAATTGTTTTGTTGGTATTGTAGTTAAGGTGCTGGACCCCCACATGGCTGACTACCTATAGAGTGCTGGACCCAGCAGCTTGAAAATCATAGTGGGACCATGCGTATGCATGTCCAGAATCCTAAGAGGAGAATGGAAAAGAAAGGGTTGTGGAGTGGTCATCCCTCCGGGACATGATTTCTCACTTTCCCTCTCTCTGTCTCTCTTCAATGAATGCACACACCCAATAGCAAAAACCTAAAACAAACAAAAAAATAAAATTGTTTTGGAAATCATTTGAAGAGGCTAATATATTACATATATGATATATCTATTGATATAATATACTATATTAGTAGATTAAATGAGAAAACTATTTGGATAACTCTATGAATATAGAAAAAGCATCTGGAAAAAAATAAGCTATCGCATATGTATATATTTTTTCTTAGCAAACCCAGGATACCAGGATATTTCCTTAGCCTTCTAGAGAGTAACTATCAAAATTTTACGGAAAACGTCACATTTACAGTTGGACTTCTAATAACATCCAATCCAAAGTCAAAACCAAAATCAGGGTGCCTACAGTCTTCACTTCTGGGAGGTCCTAGCATAGAAAGATAAGGAAAATAAATGAGGCATAAGAATTGAAACAGAAGAAACAAAGTTTTGTTTCTCAGACAATATAATTGCCTGGGTAAAAGTGAAAGACTGCACAGATATGCTACTAAAATGAGAAAGAGCAAGGCGCTGGGAAGCAGAGAAGCACACAGGAACAGCAGGAACAGCAGTGTTTCTGTGCACCACTCTTTTTTTTTTTTTTTTTTTTTTGAGAGGTTTTTGCTATAGGGCGCATGCGCCTGCCAGACGGACAGAAAGAGAGAAATCCCCCCCTAGGGGGGATGGTCACACCGCAATCCCTTC